ACACACACACACACACACACCCTATCCCTCACTCTCTCCCCTCCCACTTCGTTTAAGATGCTACTTAAAAGATGACTTTTTACTAAGATTTTGATTACCTGCCCGAATACTTTGTTGTGTGGCTTTGTATCAAATTTTGTTCTAAAGCTCCTGTGACACATTTTGGGATCTTTTATTACCTTAAAGAATATATATCATGCAAGTTATTTCAGATTTGTATAAGTAAAGCAAGCGCCAGCAATACAAAATGACTTGATAAGGCAACAATTATGCATTTTCAAGCAATTATTAATGTCAAGCAGTTGCATTATTTGATTTTAATTCAAAAATTTCATAACCATGCGAATAGCACAATTCCATCGCCATGTTTGTCATAAGTTGGATGTTGAGCTGTTACAATGTGAAGGTGGGGAAAGGGATGACCGTTGCCACACAAGTTTGGAAGCAATATCTCCAGAGGTACTCAATTAAGTGGTTTCTGGAAATTATATCATTGCATACCTGCCTGTGGTTCCTCATAAAACATAGATGTGATCTTTTTCATGTAGCAGTCACATTTTGTTTTATCCTTTTCACAAGGATTAAGATGGGGGTGGAGAGTTATGGTGGCTGATTATTTTAAGGCACTTTGATTGATTTGTTGAATTGCATTTGTTCTTAGAAATTTGACAAGTTACAATTAACATATTTGAATCACATTAAACAGATTTGTATTTCGGCCAATCATGTGGAAGAAGTTTAGACCGTATTTAAAGTTAGAGACATGAGTTATAGTGCGTTTTGTCTGAAATATGGTAGATAGCCAAGTACACATTCCTATTGAATACAAAGTTACTCTCCCATAGGATTGTTTGTGGTAACTCAGATGATGCACTAATTACACAGACAAGAGTGCTAAACCATATATAAAAAGTATTATAGACTTACTGGTTGTGACCTTTTACAACTGATATGTGATTGTTGAGTGAATTAATTAAAAGATTCATTGATACTTAAGTTGGAGATTAGAAGTTTGGTTTGTCAGAAGGCCAGTTAAAAGCCTGCAGATGTGGTTTTGGTATGTTGTGTTTATGCAGACCTTCTTCCACGCATGATAAATTAATCCCTTTGTTGTTTTATACTTTTTAAGTAAGAGACAGAAATTTACACTGTCACATTTCAAATATTATACATTTTCTAAATTTGTCAAGTAGATTCTATATATTTTAGAGCAGTTCTCTATTATTCAAATGTAATTTATATATTGTTTGCTTTGTACTGATTTTTCTGTTTGTAATCTGGATGTATCTGTTTGTAAAATCTGTGTGACCGCCAATTTGATATTTCATCAAAGCTATTAGCATAGATGCAAAAAAGTTTACAGGGCACAAATTTATTTGTTTTATCTGCATTGGGTGAGGAGCACATCATTTATACACTTATACTCTACATATGCAAAGCATTGAGAGATGCATTGTATATATTTGAAATGCTGACATGTGAACCTAGTAGTGCCCAGTGCTTTCTTTTAATTGCTTGGTAATGTTTGCATAGTGTTACATTGGATATGTGGCACAGAAATGGGCCTTTGGCTCAACTTGGCTGTGTCAGTGTTTATACTGCACTTCTTCGCCCAGCTCAAGGAAGGCATTCGAATGAGAGGAGGACCAAGGAAGCACTTAAAAGACTTCTGAAAAGTTTACATGAAGAATTGCAAAATAGACATCAATGACTGGGAGACTCTCGTTCAGAAGAAACCAACTTGGAGGAAGCTCCTGTATGAGAACACCCATCAGCAAGAGGGAATGTGGAAAAGGAACCTGAGGAAGGAATGCTAGTGATCCCGAGGCCAAGGACCAACTCCATCTCCTAGAAACACCTGACAAATGTATGGTTGGAGATGCAGCTCTAAGATCAGGCTTATCAATCACACAGGGACCCACAGAACCCATTGCCAGTGAATTGAATTTCTTAGGTAGACAATCATATTCATTAGTGAGTGATTGCCGACGACGACAATAGCTCCATCTCATCTAAGCCTACCTTTGTAATAATTTATTCCCTTCTACGTCATATGAATTTAAATCCACAGTTGCTGTGTTGGGAATTGAATTCATCGCCCCAGAGTATTAGCCTGGCCTTCTGGATAAATAGCTCAGTTCCTTTACTGCTTATGCCACTGTCTCCCCTAAATATCTTTTCCATCATACGGAAACCAGAAAAATTTAAGTGTGGTCTAAATGAGATATGATACAGGTTTAGCATAACTATCCTACTCTTCACTTCCATCTTTCTAGAAATAAAACCTAGTGCTTGGTTTGCTCTTTTTACAGCCTTCCTAACCTTGGCACAGAATTTGATGTATTTGTTGTCTGAGATCCCTTTGTTCCTTTACCTGATGTGAACGTGCACCTTTAAAGTAATGAGAAATCTCCCTGTTCTTCCTTCCAAAATCAGTTATCTTTTGCTTATATATGTTGAACTTCATTTGTCAACTATTTGCCCATTCTGTGTGTTTATTAATGTTCTCCTGTAATTTGTTGCACTTTTCCCAGTATTGAGATTCCAACAACTATTCTCCTCCTTCCCCCTCACCCCCAAAACAAAATGTTGATCTTTGAAGCTGTAGGCTTAAGGTGAGAGGGGAAAGATTTAAAAGGGACCTAAGGGGCAACTTTTTCCAGCAGAGGGTCGTGCGTGTATGGAATGTATTGCCGGGGGAAGTGGTGGAGGCTGATACAATTATAACATTATAAAGGTATCTTGCCCCTCTCACCTTAAACCTATGCCCTCTAGTCCCAAACCTTGGGGGTGTCCATATCATGCAGCAAGGGCAGGCTCTGAGCAAAATTTGCAACGAAAAATTGGTATAAGGAAGACAAATAAATACCATCTTCTCTTGTAATGATAACTGGTTTCAGTTTGGCAGATGACAAGGGGCAGTGACTTTACTAGCACTTTTGAACTAAAAAATTGACTTGTGGTATGAGCACACCTGCAGAAAGAGAAACAAATGTAGTGAAAATAACAAGATGCTTGTTATTATCCCCTCTCTTCTGTGCTTCCAGTAACAATAGCACCTTTTAGGTAATACTGTGATTGAAGCCATCTGCTATCTGCTCCAGTTATGATTTTTGCACAATTACATAAGCAAGGTTAGATGAAAATTGTAAACTTTGATTGGGTATGACTTATCTTTACAAAGATTAAGCTGCAATAAAAGGATGTTTGTTGCAAAGACATTTACAGTGTTGTGTTCTCCTGTAGGTCTGGATCTCCTGTCCCCAAACTCATTACCTAGGAATCTGTGCAAGTTATTATTCTACCCTCTGGGACATTGTCATCACTGCAGCCAGCCAATGTTTACCATCGTCTATCCTAAGTGTTTTCCTTTGACAGAGACCCCAATGGCTGCCTTGTATAATGGGTAATTATAAATAAATTGATCTTGTGTTTGAGTATCCATTTGAGACTTTCAGTGAATGGGAAACCATTAACACCTAAAAGGGAAGCACACGTTTTGTTTTATTTGATTAGCTTATTAGATTGCATCAAATGTACAAATGTTCTGAACCAAAAGGAGAACAGTTTTGGAGATATTGTTTTACTGATGTTTTATACTTTTCCATTTGTTATTCAGATATTAGGTAGTTTGAATTAAGCATGGTAGACACGCGGTATCTGATGAGGCCTGATGTATACTTCTGGAACTCCTGTGAAGATAATTCAAATTTTTCTTGTGATGAACATTTGAGTACACTACATTTACGAGGTTTTGAAGGTCTTGCCACCAGTAGTCCCTGTAGGTTTAGGCTGTTCACAGGCTGTTCCTTTTAAGATGGTATGTTCATGGTCACACAACAAAAACATAATGTTATTGTGCGGTGAGATAAACAGGAAGCATAGCAAAGAAAATTTAGAGGAATCAACACCTCACTGATCTTTAAGGGACTGTATTCTCTCTCTAGTTGCTCTTTTGCTGTTAATGTACTTGTAGAATATGTTGGGATTATTCTTAACCTTATCTGCCAAGGCTATTTCATACCCTTTCTTTGTCCTCTCGATTTCCCGCTTTAGAATGCCCTACACTCTTTATTCTCTTCAAGAGATTCATTTGATCCCAGTGGACTATATCTATGATTCTTTCTTATTCTTGACAAGAACCTTAATATCTTTATTCATCCATTTTCCCAGCTCTTACCAGCCTTACCCTTCACTCTAACAGGAACATAATGCCTCTGGACTCTCGTTAATACACTTTTGAAAGCCTCCCACTTGTCAGTTGTCCCATTACTTGCGAACAGTCTACTCCAATCAACTTTTGAAAGTTCTTGTCTCATACCACTAAAATCTGCCTTACTCCAGTTAAGAACTTTAACTTTTATGGAAGGCTTATCCTTTTCCGTAACAATTTTAAAATCAATAGAATTATGATCAGTGTTCCCAAAGTGCACTAACACTTCAGTCACTTGCTCTGCCTTATTTCCCAAGAAAAGGTCAAGTTTTGCTCATTCTCTAGTAGGTACATTTACATATTGATGAAGAAAATATCCTTGAACACATCTCACAAATTCCTCACCATCCAAGCCTTTAACACTATGGCAGTCCCAGTCAATGGTTGGAAAATTAAACTTCCCTACTATTACAACTCTATTATTCTTACATATACTTGAAATTTCTCCACATATTTGCCCGTCAGTTTGCTTCTGACTATTGCGGGGTGGAAAGGGGCCTATAAGTACAATCCCATCAGTGTGATCATCCCTTTCTTATTTTTAATTTCTGCACATATAGTTTCACTGGACAATCCCGCAGAAATGTCCTCTCATTACAGTAGTAACATTTTCCTTAATCAAAAACACTGCTCTCCCACCTCTCTGCCTCCCTTTCTAACCTTCCTATAGCATCTGAAACACAGAACATGCCAGTCCTTCCCTTAGCAAGTTTCAGAAATAGCTATAATGCCCTAGTCCCGTGTTCCCATACATACCCTGAGTTCATGAGCCTTACCTGTAAGATTCCTGCGTTGAAATAAATGCAGTTTAATTTTTCAGTTACCTCGTTCTCTGACTTATTGTTTTGTCCCTTTTCTAATTAACTTGCTCCTTTCTGATTCAGAACCACCCTCATCTGTCTTACTATTTTTACTATTACATGGGAACACCCCCACCACCCCCTCTCTACTAGTTTAAAGACTCCTGAAATAGAAATGCAAATCTCCCTGTCAGAATATTGGTCCCCTTCCAATTCAGATGAAACCCACCCCTTTTGAACAGGTCTTCCCAAGAAGAGATCCCAATGATCCAAAAATCTCAATCTTTGCACACTGCACCATCTCTTTAGCCATTGATTTATCAGCCCTATCTTTTTATTCCCACTCTCATTAGAACGTGACACCAGGAATAAACCAGAGATTACTACCTTTGAAGTTTTGTCTGTGCCCTTGACAGAAGAGTCCCTTATAACACTTATTTTTTAAAGTCTTGACAAACACTGCTTAACATAAGATTCATTCGTAGTGCCCAAAATATGACTGCCACTTCTATTTTCCTCTAAGAGACTATCCCCTTCACCAGTAGCCAGAACGGAATATCTGTTTGAGAGAGGAATAGCCATAGGAGACTTCTGAACTACCTTCTTACCTTTCCTGACAATCACCCATCTCTCTGACTGATCCTACTGCATAACCACCTTTCTAAATCCACAAACCGTTACACTCTGTGTCTCTTGAATGCCCTCAATGACATTAAGCCTAAAAAGAAGCACTTAAAAACACCTTCCACAAAAAAAAACACCCCTCCTTACCCACATACTTTAATCTTAAGTATGCAAAAGATTAAAAAATTGAACATTTCAATTCTTAAAAAAGAACCAATCACCTAGCTGAAACTCTCATCAACCGAAAAAAGCTGCCTCAAGTCCTCTATCAGTCAAGTTTAAAATCTCCAGATGAACAAAAGAAAATCTCTCTAGAACCATTGAACAAACACATGGACAGACTTCTCCCACAAGCTCTGTGTATAAAACAATCTCCTTCTTCACGTTTGCTTTTTAATTCATCTCCAGATCAACACTCAACAAAAATGTGGAGGCCTCTCCCACAAACTTTGTGTGAGGGAAAAAAAGTCCTCCTTCGTGTTTTTTTCTTCGTGATTTTTTGGACTATAGAAGTTCCAAAAAAATGATTTAAAATAAAGATTTTTTGCTTCTGCTATGTAATAACTATAAGAAATCCACAAAGAAAGCCTACAACTTGGGAGCAGCTGCAAAATCCATGCTGCTGTTATTCCGCCATGTTTTTATAAATCAATTCTGAGACACTCCTAGTGTGCGTGATTCACTGTATTGCCATGGTGTACTTACCAACTTTGCATCTATTTGATACTGTCGCAATCATTCATGACCTTCCACTGCCATATTTATAGTTCATTGCTGAAAAACTGTGTTAAATATTTGTGAATGGAGTTCTCGAAATATTTTGCACTGAAATTAGGGAAATAAAACTTGAGGTGGTTGATTTACAAGTGTTAGAGCATAAAATGGGCAACAGTATTAACCCTGTATAAGCAATACTCAGTGAAAACAGTTTATATCCAGGTTAGTGAATTCTACTCAAGTAATTCTGGAATCAAAACAAACCTGTGCAGGTATAAGCTGTAGCTGTTGACTAAGAATTAAATCTTATTTCATCAATCAAGGTATTTCTTGTGAATAGCAAGGTTATGATTTATCTCTTTTTATAGGAGGACAAAAATGAGCTTTGTAGCATACTGTTGCTCCATCAAATGTCTACGGGTTTTTGACTTGCTTAGCTGACATGTCGTGACAAGGAGTAACTTGGCGGACACGTTGGGAGGTGGGAAAGTTGCGTTGAATGGCAAGGTTCTGAAAGCGATTCTGTTGGTTAACTTCCATCTCACCTCAAAATACAGTTGCAAGATTACAACAAGCTGTCAGAAAAGTTTGCACCGATTATGATTCTTTTCGGTTTGTACTGAAAACGATTATGAATCACACCTGTGGGAAATTATTCATTTCCAGTGAAGAAATCTGTCATTTATAAATGTCAAATGCTGACGTACTTTGTAAGTCTGTAACCTGAAGGATGAAATATAATGTAAGCACAAGGGGAAGAACCTACAAAGTAAGAAATAAAAGGAAGATCATTTTGGCATAACTACTTGAAAGTCAAAGCAGACTTTGTGGGCTACTTAATTGCATGACATTTGTCTTCATAATCATTGTTCTCTCTTACTTGTCAAAAAGGGCAGTAATCACTTGGTAATAAACCATAATTTCATCTCAAATAAAATAATTATATAATGAAACAATCAGTAACAAGCAGTTTGCCTGAAGAAAATTACACAATATATGTTTACATGGAGGTCTGTTTTCAAAATAAATGGGTTATCCAATTCTGCTAAATTTCTATACATATGTGTAGATATGTATACTTTATCTTGTTAGTATTTTCAGCTGGGTTATGGAAAATATTGTTTGAAGTGCAGAAGTTTTTCTTTATACAGTAATGTTACATAATTTCTTATGCAGTAAAAGTGTTCACGTGGAAGTTGCTGATCGTATATTAAATGGTCATGTTGCATAGGATATCAGTATAATGTGTAAACAGTATTTTGCTCCTCCAGTGGTTTTGTTTGAATGCAGTACATGGTGTGTTACTAATTCGTAGAGACAATTGGGTCTAAGGTTTGTTCTCTCATTTGTGGAAATTAAATTCATTTTATGCATAACGGCAATAAGAGATTCTAAAATTCAACCCTAATAATAGAGTGAAAATTAGCTAAAACCTCACAAGGCAATGACCATCTCCAACAAGAAATAATTTAGCCGTCTCCTCTTGAACATTTAGTGGTACTACATCACTGAATTCCCCCATTGTCAATATCCAGGAGATTACCATTGACCAGAAACGGAACTGAGCCAGCTGTATAAATATTATAGCTACAGGAGTAATCAAAATCTGGAAATTCTGTATCATATAACTTAGTCCCCAGAGCCTGTCCACCATCTATGAGGCACAAAGTAGGAATACTTTCTACTTACCTGGATGACTGTGGCTCCCACAACACTCAAGAAGCCTGACACCATGTAGTACAAGACAGGCACTTATCAACACCCCATCAACTAACTTGTGTTCACTGCCTCATTAAATTCAATGCAAGATGCATTTCAGAAATTCACCAAAGTTCCTTAGACAATACCTTCCAAACCCATGATCTCTTCCATCGAGAAGAACAAGGACAGCAGGTCCTTGGGAACACCACCACCTGCAAATTCCCCTCCAAGCCACTCACCATCTTGGAAATATGTTGCCCTTCCTTCACTGTTGTTAGGTCAAAATCCTGGAATTCCCTCCTAGTGGCATTGTGATCAACCCACAGCACGTGGACTGCAATGGGGTTAGAAGAATGTGAGGTTATCTGTTTGAAATTTAAGATACTGAGAGGACTTGAAAAGCATGGCTAACCCATCTAGCCAGCACATCTCTGGATACAGCAGGGCAATTTTTAGCATAGCCAATCCACCTAACTTGCACATCTTTGGACTGTGAGAGGAAACTGGAGCACAAGGTGGAAACCGACACAGACACAGCAAGAACATGCAAACTCCACACAGACATTCATCCAAGGCTGGAATTGAACCCAGGTTGCTGGCAGTGCTAAACACTGTGCTGCCTTGTTGTCATTGGAACCGTTGAATATTTTTAAGGCTGAGATAGATTAACTGACAAAGGAATCAAAGGAAATTAGGAGTAGTAGGAATGAGGAGCTGAAGTCTCAATCAGGTCAACCATGATTTTTTTGAATGGTGGTGCAGACTTGGGGGACTGAATACCTTGCTCCTTGTCACTTGCATGTCCAGATAGCAACTGGGACATGCAGAGCGTGGTGGTACATGTACTGAACAGGTTTGTCTCTCCTAAGACCACTGATTAAATAAGAATGCAGATTGTTATAATTGTTTATAAATTCTTTTTAATTTGTGTACATTAAATTGCTTACATGGATCAAATTCCAGATCCGAAAGCTCAGAAGAAATGTCTTTTTACCATCAAATTGTATGTTTTGACCCATACCTGTTTGTGTTCATGATTGAAAGTATCTTCCTTATCTCATCCAGTTAATGATCCCCAGTTTCTGGCTTGTAATCACTGTCATTTTTCATATAGCTACAGTAAATGGTGACCTACTTCCATACTTTCACTATTTTATTCTCTCTGGTATAAGACACTCCACAGCTACAATATACCAAGTGCTGAATCAGGTTCTGGTGGCTGGGAGGAACACCAATTCCTGAATTTCTATGATTATACCAAATAAACGAGAGCCAGATTGGGACAGTTATCTGGAACTGAACTAAAATATCAACCCAAAAAATTACCATTATACTGTCAGTCTTGTATCGTGACCAGTTAATCAGTCAAGAGACATGTTCAAAATTGGTATTAGTTTAAAAAATGAACTGCTGCTACTTTTCTTTAGTTTACAATTGAGGAATGAAAGGAAAGAAGTTGGGCATTATGTGACACACTTTCACATGAGAAACCGTCAAATTTTAGAAAATATAAAGTTGGTAACTGCATAACTACATGTTTCTTCAGTGAGAAGCAGGGTTTTTCAACAAATTGTTGCAATGTTACTGTTTTCACAATGTGCATTTCTGTTTGCAGCTTTTTGTAATATCAGCTAACAATGTATTAATGTTGTTTAAATTATATGATTTTGCTGTGATATTTCTCATCGAGCTTTTTAAAATTGAAGTTGTGTTCACTGTGTGGCGAAGTAGTCCCAGGGCTAGCGGTATTAGGCTTCACAGCCAACTCAGACATGACTGCGCTTTCAGCAGTATTTTCTTTTCAAAATCGCACTAATATCATTGACATTTACCTCTGACTGGAACTTCAATAGATTTTCAGTGTTAAAATAGTTGTTTCTTTAAATAATTTTGTGGTAGGAAGAATTTTAAATCTGGTACTTGCCTTGCCCTGTCATTGGGCCTATCGTTAACTTAAAACTCACTGTTTTGCTGCCCTGCCCATGATGCACTTTGGTCTAATCAGCAGGAACAACCCTTGCCATGATCCACGCTCATTATAAACCAAAAAGAATAGTGTTATTCCCTGTAAATAAATAGTATAGTTTGAATATCAATATTAATGTTAACTGTATTGAAATGTTGACCAGACGGCAGCATTAATTTCAGTAGTTGAAGAGGCTGCACTGTTAAAACACAAATTTTATTTTTTTTGTGTGTCTATGCACAAAGCCAGGTGCCTCGGCAGTTGTCATAACCTTTTTGTGACTAATCTTTGCAGTTCTACTTTATTGATCTGGAGCTTAATCTTTCATACAATAACATCTTAATTGATTGTCATTGTATGATATGTATCTGTACATACTGAAATGTCATATAAGGTTAGAAGTTGTAAAGATTCTTACTTGACTACATTAGGCCTCTTATTTCTTTTTTTATATTCTTTAAGACTGTGAGGACACATTTTGTTTGGGCTCCTGTGATCAATGATCTTGAATAGTCTGTGGTGTTAACCTCCTGATGTCTTGTTGATAAAGGAAATTTGGAGACAGTCTTTACTTGGGATAGATTTATTCACAGAGTGAAATAGTAAAAGTATATGTCTCCTGTCTCCGCTTAACTCTTGTGTCAATAAGTATCTCTTTGAAAGTATTTTTAAATAGCCTTTTCTGGCTCGTAATGATGCATCTCTGGGATAGGTGGGACTTAGTCATGGGCTTTCTGCATAGAGATAGGGGCACTAACCACTACCACTAAAGAACATCTAGATGTTTTTAACATTGTCAACTAACTGTTGAATTAATTCCCTTCACTCTCCAGCAATTACATTTATAGGATTAGAATGGAGGTTCTGCTAAAAAAATGAATAGTTAGGAACTAAGCTAAAAAGCACAATCTCCAAGGTAATGATCTCAGGATTACCACCTGGGCCTTGGGCAATCTGGCATAGGGTAAATAAAGTCAAGGGTTGAAACATGTAGCTCAGAGATTGGTGTGGAAGGAATGGATTTTGGAATCAGTACTGGGGTAGAAGAGGTTTCAGTGGAATAGACTTCACTTGAATTGTGCTGGGACCAATGCCCTGGTGATTGGAATAACTGGGCTGCAGAGAAAGCAAAAACAAAATTACTTTGGAAGGGGGAAAAGAATGTGTGTTTTGGAGAGGTGATATATAGGCTTACAAAACAAAAAGAAATGGCAGCATTGCAGGGCATCTATTTAGCTAATGACACCTGAGGGAGACAACAAAGAACATGGTGTTTAAAGTTTAAGAAAAGCAGAAAAAAGGGTCAAAAGGAGTGAAAAATGATAAAAACACGAAACTAATTGTCCTGCATGTAAATGCACATATTTTCCAGAACAAATTAAGTGAATTAATGAATGCAAGTACAGTTGAGCATGAATGACCATATCGCTATGAGACACTGTTAACTAAAAATAACTAAATATTCAGGGTTAGGTGACTGTTCAGAAGGACAAAGTGGTGGGGTATAACAAGTGGAGTGATGGTGTACAGGGTGGAAGTAATATGATAGCAAGAAATAATCTTGGATTGGATGCTGTAGAATCCATGAGGATGGAGACAAGAAAACCAAAAAGAAGATACTTAGGAATGGTCTATACGCCCCTTAACAGTCTGACATTAAATCAGCACGTAAGAAGGGGATGGCAGAATTTGGCATTCAATTTGAGAGCAAGAAACTTGGGTTGGAAACAACTGTGCTTAACTTAAGTAGGAGTTATCAAAAGGGCTGAGGCAAAGCTGGCTGGTGTTGGCTGGGAAAGAGATGGTTGCTGAACAATTTCGGATGTTTAAACTAATAGATCATAATTCACAACAAAGACATATCCCAGTGCTTATGAATAATTCCAGGAAAGGATAAACCCTATACATAATGTCAAATTGAAAAAAAAGGAAAAGATAAATGATAAACCAGAGGGTTGGGGAACTTTTAACTGACAAAAGATGACCAAAAAAAAGTCTAATAAAATAAACTTTGAAGGAACGATAGCAAGTAATATAAAAAAGAACTCTTTAAATGTATAAAAACAGAAGAGTGAGGCTGAAGTGAATGTAAGATCTCAAAGAATGGGGAGGAGCTGGGGAAATAATAATGGGTAATGAGATAATGGCAGA